CTTGCAAGGGTACCCTGCCGTGTTGTGCCTCTCACCTGGGGAACACAGTGGTTCCCACAACACAAACCTGTGGCGCTGTTCAGTGCGTAATAAGGAAAGCCCTTTATACAGTATCGTGTGTGTGGGGGTATATATATGTATAAAAGAAAACATATGTATATATATACTTCAGATTATTATAGCTTTTTCATTCGCTTTCTTAATTTTATTCACGTATTTCACCTTTCAGAAAGTACAGAAATTCCATCTTATGTGACTAAATGTCCTAGCAACGGGCTTTGCAGTAGATTGCCACCAGACTGTATGACATGTAACACAAACTATTCCTGTATATATGGGAAGCCGGCCACTTTTGATTGCAAAGTCAAGCCACATGTTCATTGTGTTGTAAGTAACCTGTTACTTTTAAATGGAAATTAAAGTCATTTAATTAAATTGTGGCATTTTGTCATAAAATATAAAAAAAATGATTGCCAGGTTCTTACATAGGCAGGTTTGCAGTTCTGTGATAGATGTAATCATTCAACTGTAGGCTGTTGGTGAAGAGGCAGACCAACCCTTATCTGTTTTGTCCTCCTTGCATTGGATCTTTTTCTTATACAGCCATGCAGTTGAGTTAAATCAATTTGTTGACCCATCAAAACTGAACTGTTTTGAGAGTGGGAAGGTTTAGTATCTGTCAGAGGTACAAAGTGATCTTACAGGTGAGACTGAACAAGTGTCCTCTGTTTGTCAGTAGCCTTGGACTGGGAGAAGCAGTAACATTAAACTGCCCTTTAATAATTTTGTCCGTTTCCTAATGTTAATTTTTTCAGTTTTACTTGTCTACATGGAGGTAGCAAAGAGGGTGCTTGTTATTTTGCAACCAGATGTCTACTCAGGAAATGTAATTTGATACTGCACACTGTGAATTCGGTTATTACTAGTGAAGTAATAATGCTGTCCTTTTATAGGACCAGAACAACCACGAGCAGGAGAACTTTACAATTAACATGACATGCCAGTTTTGCTGGCAGCTTGCAACAACTGATTATGTATGTACTAATTCTACAAACTGCATGACAGTTTCTTGTCCACGACAACGATACAATGCCACTTGTACAGTACGGGATCATATCCATTGCCTAGGTAAGGCAGGCTAAAACAGATTCTGTAAAGAAGCTTTTTTCCTAAAGAATTTCTTAACGTTTTTCGTAATGGCTCAATACAGTGATTGTTTATGTCTGTTGCAGAAACAGCCTGCTCCTTGATTAATCTATTGAATTTTTTTATGGTTACATTTTCAGTTTTAAGCATAATAGTGATACCTAACTGTAAACATTGAGTTTTAATACTGTTGTGTACCTTCACATGAGAGAAAACAGTTCTGATTAATTTTGGTCAACCTCTCTGAATTAAACTGATTTGGACATCAGTAACAAAATCAGTACCAAACATCTCAGTAGGATAATTTAAAAAATTCATGCTAGTTTCACTCAACTAGTTTAATTTTCCCTCTTTGTTCAGTGACCTTGCATGTTTTCTTATGTGGGATGAAGATTGATGGAACAGAGGACTGTAGAGTACATATGAGCTGTTGTGTTGACAGTATATTTGTTTCGTTTAGTGTCAACTCTTTTAGGCTCTTGTTAGAGAAATAACAGTATCTTCTTGCTTATTTTCCTCCCATTGTGTAGTCATTGTTACATTAATGTTTTAATGTTTTCTAATGTTTAGGTAATCGTGTCTTTCCTAAGATGCTCTATTGCAACTGGACTGGAGGTTATAAGTGGTCTACTGCCTTGGCGCTAAGGTACACAAGAACTATTAGATAACATCAAGCTAAAATAGATAATATTATTTGAAATGGATTGTCTGTAAAAATCTTCTGTCTGTGTGGGTTTTCTGCTTGGTATTTTTGAGTGGTGTACTGAATAACCAATATTTCATATAGTCTACCTTAGAATTTGGAGGCATAGGATGCCTGAAGATTGTATATGCAATACTGCTGTTTTCGGTAAATAGAGCTTGAGAGAAATGTCTGCATGGAATGTACATTCTTCAGAGTAAATGCCAATGATTCTTAGGCTTCACAGAGTGATCAATTTTCTGAGTAGAGAGGACGTGTTGGCTTTTACTCTGTACAGTGTCGAATGAGGTACAAATGCTCAAAAAAATCTGCAGATTTATGGGTTTTTTTCTCCCAGTTTTTTATATATTTTAAACAATTAAGGCTGAAAATTGTCCAAATTACTTCTTGGCATCTGAAATGGATGCAGCCATTTCTGAATTTGATAGATGTGACTGTACTGGCTATAGTTGGTGTACATTTGTTATGGCTTCCTTCCCAGCTGTAATAGCTAGAAATGCCTTATGATGAAGTTTCTTGTGTTTTAAATTATTAGGGAAGAGGCCAGTGCAGTGGTATTGAAAGAAACTATTTAGATTATTTTTGGAACATTAAGCCATGAGAGCACCGCAGTAGTGATTTGAAAGTAACTGAAGTTCTTTGGGTGGTAAGACCTTTTTCATTGTATTTGCGTATTTCGAAGGTGGTTAACATGATCAGTTAGGTAGTGAGACTCTCTGCTCCTGGAACCAAAGATACAATAAGACTGTGATTAAGAAAATTATTTAATACACTTTCTATTCTAGCAAGAACTGTTCTCTCTGCCACCAGCTGGAGAAACTTGCTGTTGCCTGACTGCTGCGTGGTGCTGAATTTAACGATTGGGTCTGTTTCTCTAGCTGGTTTGTTGGGGTCTTTTTAGCTTCTACTAGCTTAGAAACATCAAGACACATTTATGAATTTGAGAGCTTTGGTTTTTATTGCTTGTTATGAACAAAAAACTGTCAGGTAAATTTCTGGATAGTGTTAGTTAGCTAAGAAATAGTGCTATTTAATCAAAATCTTTCTCATTTAGTAACAGCTCTTTTTGCACAAAAAAATGTATAGTTTCTCGAATGATGTAGAGCAAAATTATCATCGACTTGTAGGTGTGTCAGAAAGAAGTGTGTATGGATACCTGAACTGAGTTCCTGTAAAAATAATAATAATAACGAATCATGTTTTTATTCTTATAGCATCACCCTTGGTGGATTTGGTGCCGATCGTTTCTATTTGGGCCAGTGGCGGGAAGGTCTGGGAAAACTCTTCAGCTTTGGTGGACTTGGAATATGGACACTAATTGATGTGCTACTAATAGGTGTTGGCTATGTGGGGCCTGCAGATGGTTCTCTTTATATTTAAATGTGGGTGTAACGTGTTTCAGGGAGGAGTGATTACTTGGAAGGGGCTCTAAATAAAAGAATGTAGAGATTTGGGCCTTTCAGGTAGAATGAAGAACCACTGTTCTTTCTGTGTGCATACATTTTAATGTACAGTATCTGTACTTAGTTTGCCTTTAACTAAGGTAAAATAAAAGAGTGGATCACTGAGTAGGTTGAAATTCATTTCCTTTCTTCTGTAGACATGCTCTTTTTCTATGAAAAAAGTTGAACAGCTAACCAAATTCTGCACTGTGCTTGAACCTGGATGATCTGTTGAGCACCAAGAGAGATGCAAACTGACTTGAATATTGAGTTGTTTACTTCATATTTGTATGCTTAAATTTAACTTTATAGCTAACTTCCCTAAATATGTCAGGTTTTTTTTTATATTTTATTTTTGGGAGGATAATTTATTTGCCCGCATTACTCTAGCAGTATGTAGATCACCATGTTTTATGATGTTAATTACATTTATCTCTGTTTTGGGATCTAGCAAGAGCTAATATTTGCTTAATGACTTGTCGACCTAAAATTGTGGAGTTTTTAGAACTAGATTGCAGTAACACTAAAAGCTAAATATGAAATAATTGAAATAGATTTTAGGATTGTTCCATAATATCTTTATTTTGGTTGGTTTTGATCTGTGTATCAGTCAGAGGTACAATGTGTATTCCTGCACTTACCAAGCTTTCGAGGTTCACTTACAAAAAGGGTTGGGGATATAATCGATGCGTTTATCCACTTAAGATGCTGTAAAAAGATAATGTAGAAACTAGTGCCATTACAGAGGAATAACTTAGTTTAGATCAGGTCAGTAGCGCAGGGTGGCTGCCTGCTTCCCGGCTGGCACCCGCTGGCCGTGCCCTTCCCCTTACACTGGGCTTGAACTGTCGCTTGTGTAGTGCTAAGGCGCAGCAGCTCTAGAAATCGTTATCACTTGAATAAACTTGAAGCTCTGCTGGAACTAAATCCTGCGAGTGGTTTCTGCGGCCTCGGCCCGGGCCGTGCTGCCCCTGTGCCTGCC